CAAGGAAGTAGAAACCTTCACAGCCACCTGCACATGGGGAATATCATCTTACTGACTTTTGCAGTTCAGAGGCTGAATTTTATTTTTAGTGTTCTAATTCACTGTTTGCTCTTGATCACCTCCTATAGCCTCCTCATTGTCCCTGTGTTTCCAGCCTCATTCCCCCTGTCCTCCATTAGTCATCGTCCTTCCCTCCTCTCTTTTCATCTCCACTTCATTGTCACTCTTCCCCTTCGACTTCCACTTAGACTTTCTCACTCCATTGATGCTGTTATCTCTCCCCTTCTGCCTTTCCCACTTATCCAAATCAATTCAGTTATATATTACAAAAATCACCACCAAAAAAAACCATATAAACATTTAAAAATAAAGTGAAACTAACGTGGCATTTTCCAAACATCCCCTTGATTACTCTCCTTGTATGCTGCATCCCTTTCTCCCACCCTTTGTCAGCTTGACTATTTAGGCCCAATCCTGCAAAGATTTATGCATATGCTTAACTTTACACACTGTGAGTAATCCCACTGAAAACGATGAGACAATAAAAAATGTGCATAAGTTTTTCCAAGATCAGAACCTTAGATTGGCAGTTCTTTGGGGCAGAGACTGTCACTTCCTATGTATTTATGTACAATGCCTAATGCAATGTGGCCCTGTATTCAGCTGGGGCTAGGTACTATCATAATACAAATAATATGAAAAGTCCCTCAAACAGAAAATATATCTGGGTAATTTATTGGACATAATTGCTAACAGAAGATTTAATAAATCAGATTTAAAGGTTTCTCATTGTTTTTCTCCTTTACTCCCTTTAAAGACATTTTGCTTTGAGATTAATGAGATAATCAAATTCCACTCAGGATTTTTTTTTTTCTTTTTGACTTTAATGTCTTCCACAAACTAAACATATTTCTAAATAAGGCTGAGTTTTTGCAAGGCCAGAGGAAGCCTTGCGCATCAACACCCTGCAAGTTGGAGTGGCATGAAGCAATATAAAATCATAAAGACTGTAGTAAAAACAGTACCCTTGAAAGGTGACTATCCATGGAGAAAAGAACTGCACTTAGACTAAGAAAATGCTCAAGGTTTGAGAATTAATACCATGCAGCAGCCCAGCTCAACTAAGCGTATAAGAGTCAACTATATCAGTAGATATTATTTCCTTGTAATTTTACCCAAGATAAGGCAAAGATGCTAAATCCAAAAAATCATACTGCAATATCTTGTCAGTTGTAAAGTATCCTGCATTTGTCAGCTGGTTTGATTGACTGGGGTCCAAATGTGTAATATGAATGTGTACAAACTATTAACTCTCCATATACAGTAGTAATTAGCCTTTTAGAATGATTATTTTTAATCCAATATTCAATATTTTTGTCCATTTCAGCCCTGAGGGCAAAATATTCCATTTTTCTTGACATTAACAGCCAGTGAAATGTTGGTGCAGTTTTAATTACATATAAAAATTGACCACCAGGTGTTGGACTGCAAAACATCAAGCAAAGGGGCTTGCTTGTGTTTTTTATGGTATGTAGCCTGCTGGAGTAAAAGCAGGGACAAGTTCTTCACAAATGCCAGAGGAGAGAGAGCAGAGCCCTGGTCAGTTTCAAGCCCCAGTAGAGAGGGCTAATCCACAGCTCCCTGTAAATTACCTATTACCAGTAGGCATTATTGTGACCACTGGCTCATCCTATAGAGAAGATGCTGACTGACATAAATTAACAAGGAGGGGGTAACGATAAAAACATTAGCAGCCTTTTAAAGAAAACAGTAGGGAAGTTTCATTAACAATAATAATACCTAGTTCTTATATGCCACGTTTCACCCAAGTAGATCTCAAAGTGCATTACAAAAGAGGTAAGAATCATTATCCTTATTTTAGACATGGGAAACTGAGGTATGGGGCAGTGAAGTGACTTGCCCAAGGTCACAAAGAAAAAGAATTTTTTTGCTAAATGACAGGAAAATTCAGTAGTGATGTATGTGGTACAATTAACTGTATTTCAATTTGCCAGTGGCCAAGTATGGGGAAAGATACTAAATGGAGTGACTCAAGAAAAGTTGTAATGTAGGAGATTAAAATGATGCAGGATTAATTCTATGAATAACATATTCTATAAACTCTATCATGACACAGCATGTCTGATGCCAGTAGTATACAGGAATAAAAGTTCATATCAGCTTAGTGAAGGACATAAGTACACATGAGATGGAGTTCACATCAAATATGAGTAATGAACATAACACTAGGTTTGTGAGTGATGAGGTACATGTGGGCCCAGAATAAAGAATGAAGGGATAGTTGAAAATTGCATATTCTACTCAGTTTCAGCTATCTGAGACCCCACTTTTTCTCCATTCTTTCCAATTTGAGGAGCGCTTAGTGCAATGCTGATGTTCTCCTTTCTGACATTAACAAAAGTCCATGGAAGTCAGTGGAAATATTCCCACTGACTTGACTAGGCTTTGGGTCAGGCCCTTAGTAAATGAGCAATTCATATCACTAATTTTATGAACACAAGCTGGGACAGGAAGGGAAAAAAATAATTATGAAATAATTTTTCCAAAATTAGTCTAAAATTTAGTTCCTTAATTTGTATTAGAACATGTATTATGATTATATTAACAAATGTAGGCTACTGGCACGTGAGAAACAAGATACTGAAATTATCATTTTTACTGCCCAGATTTTGTAGTGCACTAATACTGGAGGTTTGAATTCAATTTATTTTTGATGTTTCAGGAATTTTTATTGAAGCATGGATTAAAATTTCTCACCTAAACAGCAAGATTTTTTTTTAAAACAATGAAACTAAATGTCTGAGTACCAATAGAAAAATGATCCCTTCTCTTGTGTAATTAAATGCATTGTATTAATGTGTGCATAATGCAAAATCAATAAATAATGAATTACCACTGATTGTAATTGAATGTTTTCATAATTTTATTGTCAGCCATGATAAATAATCAGTACATTTATACTGCATTAAATTAATTAGTGTGTCATTTCTATTACATACATCAGCAGTGAAGTAATGCAGTGACATCTGTTTCTAATGTTTTAAAGATGTTGTATCCCTTATTAAGTAAAAGAAAGAGTTATTAGAGATGTTTCCAGTGATTGTCAGTTATACTGGGGTATTCGAGGGGATCTAATAAAGGAACTTACCCTCCTAGAATTTTAACCCAATAATGGTTGTGAATAACAAAGGTTAGAGTCAATTTGCTTCTTTGGACATTTAAAGAAAAGAGTGGAATTTTCTACTCTTTTTACAGAGAATAAGACTGAGCCCTGACACCTTCTTTTTAGCTAAATTCCATCAATATAATCAGGGAAGATTCAGTAGAACACAAAATAGTAGACACTGAAATAGGAGTCTACCATCTATATGTGTTTTTTCTGCCTCAGGCCCCAGTGATCTCTATATGGACACAAGGGCCTGCCCCACATGAAGCTCATTGGAGGATCAGGGCTTTGGCAGTCAGATGGTTATGTAAAAAGAAAACAAGGTAATTTTAATGTACTCGGAATATTTTACAAAACCCAAAACTTAGACAGAAGAAAGCTTTACATTTTAGTCTGGCTACAGTACATTTCTTACTGAGGGCACCATCCTGCAACCACTTAAGCAATATGTAGTTTAGTTTAAATGAGTGGTATGTTGATTTTAATGAGACTTCTCATGTGAGTTAAGTTATGCTACTGTAGACGTGTTTGCTGGATCAGGCCCTTAAACTTTAAAAGTAAGCGGTATTCATACAGTGCTGTGTAATTCCTCATGCTGAAGTGTATTTGTTACTGTCCATCAATGTGCACTTCCCATTGAAGTCAGTTTGTGTACAGCTTCTGAAAGAACAGCATCACAGGATCTGACATTCTTAAGATAAGCATTTCTGAACCTCTGGTTGGCGCTCTTCATCTTGGTGTAAAATTACATGATTTGTGACACGGCCAATTGTAGGTTCTGATGTGATACACTGTAATCTAGTGTTTATGCTCTCTGATTCTTAATTTGTTAACTCAGTCAAATGTATTTTAAAATTAAATATTTTATTATTACTTCATAGAAGTATTTTCCCCTTCTTATAACAGTATTCAAGCAAAATCAAAACAATTTTACAATCTTTTATATTAGGTTTTCTTAGTTCCAGACAAATTACCTCACTTGTCAATAGGAAGTTCCAAAATTCCCTTTTTAATTAAAATAATTGAGCCAAATTCTGGAGTCCTTTCTCAAGAAAACTGACTTCTGTATGCTGTACTCCTTATTGAAGTCAATAGGAAGACTTCAATCGGAATTTTCCCTGAATAAGACCTTCAGGATTTAGACATTCACCATAAGAACTTTGTAAAAAAACAACAACAAAAAAACAAATGAATGACCCAAAGCCATTATCTACAAAGGCCATATCTGCTCTTCATGGTAATTAAAGCTTTTATGGGACTTATAAGAGCAGAGTTTTACTCTTATGCATTTAGCCAAAATTTCCTCTCTCTCTCTGGTGATGTGAAATGTGTTGTGCCTCAGCTGGCTGTCATCTTCCACCCCAGAGGTATCTGCACTTCAGTTGTATAAGAAAATTTGTATAGAACTTTAATATATTTCACAATGAAAAGTGTTGCATAAATACAAGTGATGTTATTGTTAATTAAATGAACCATCATTGCTAAAGAATCAACTCAGAATCTGTCACATTAAACATATGATTCACCACTTTAATCTTTGGCCCAATTTTGCATTCCACTGGGGATCTGCAGTGGTAAAAATTGCAAAGTCAGGATCCTATTAAAATCATCAATAAGGATGAAATCATTACGATATAATCTTTCTCGAACGCATTTTTCTTAGTGGAGATAGGCTAGTGGTACTAGACGTATCAAAGTTAACACACATTTAAATCTCTACACTGTGTAATCATGTATATCTACTCACATTTTTAAATACAGATAAGTTAATATCCATGAGATTATAAACTGAACTCCTCTCTCTGTTTGCCAGGCAGCCAAATACAGCAAAAGTTTCCCCTGCACTGACTGTTGCAGTATCTCTAGCCCTGACCTGAAGGCACCACCATCTAGTGGGATGAGAAGGTATTTCATTTTTCTTCTTTGTAGATTTTTGCATTTTTGAAACAGACTTTTTAAACTATCTAGAGCAACAACAAAAAATAATCTTTTTTGGGGTCAAATATCTTCTGTAGACCCTTCATAAATTTTCATATCCTGTGTTGTGAGTGCAAAGTATTTTATGACAAGAAAATATAAGAGATGTGATAATAAATTTCCATAAGAAGAAACTGATAATGAGAAAAGAAGTTCTACATAAACAGATTCTCGTATAAATTTAATGAATGTATCAAATTTAACATTTCATTGAATCTATTTTTATGAAATATAATTGTCAAAATAATTAATATTTTAGGAGTGGTAAACTTGAGATCAGTTTTAAAACCAATATATGTCTACAATACCAATGATACCTATTTGTAGAGTTATATAGAGCCATTAAACATACAGTATTTTAACTATACTCTAACCATTAAGTCACATCAAATGCAAACTTTAAAGTTCTGAATGGAAGAATACATTTTTCCTTAGGCTTTAAAAGTGTCCATTTACCGTACTTGATTATATTGATATATTGGATTGAGTTACATGATTATATTTCTTTTTATTACTTACCAATTATTGTCAAAGATAGCAATTATTTTTGTGTTGTTTCAAGAGTATGCATGCATATGCAGCTGTTATCCTAAGATGCCTCCTTGCATATTCAGCTCCACTGATTTTGTCTCAGCATTGCACAATGGATTTACATCATTCATAGATACATAAAGACAGTTGTGCATTGACACTAGAATAAATGTTAAGATTTTGTTTAAATATTTGAAAATTCCTCCCATATTTAATTAAATTTAGTATGTCTAATAAATATAACAAATAATTAAGAGTTAGATGTCCAATAATGCTGAAAATATTTTGAAATATTTAACAACCTACATGATGGTAATTTTGCCACTGACTTCTGTGGGAGCTGGACCAGACATCAGTGTTAAGTACTACTATCCTCAACTTATGTACAGAAATGCGACTGATATAATTTGGCATCAATGGGTGTTCTGCATGTTAGATCAATGCCAGGATATGCCGGTTAGACTTATATTGTATATCTTCTAAGAGCCATATTGCTACTTTAAGACACATTCAGAACTCCATATTGAAATCAATATGGAGCACTGCATAAAAATTAATGTCAATAGATGGTCCTAAGAGTCTCAAAGTGGTGCCTGCTATTTTGCCTTTCTGATCTCTAAAATACATGGCTGAGAAGCTGCACATTAGAGACATAGCCCAATGTGTAGTTTAACATATTTACACAGGTTTACAGGAAGATACCTATTGCATTTGCACTCCAGAAGGGACCATATGTTTTGCCTCTTGCTTACTGAGAAGAACAGAGAAATCCAAAGACTGCCATGGAGGACTAGCCAGGAAGTGAATACCAGTGATCTGCAGGACTTTGAGCTCCCAGACTTGTATTCAGCTATGCAAAGGGCTTCTTTCTCAGTGATCCCACCTATCCCTTCAACAACCCTAGCTGTATGGGTAGTTTGAAAGCTGTATTACATTGTCTGCTGGCTCCTGGTTGTGCACTGTAACAGCTCTGAAGATAAATGTGAGAAAATGCAGTTGGACTTACTGTGTTAAGCAACATTAACTATATGTTTATGTGCACCAGTTCTTGGCAGGGAGTGGAGAGAAAAGCATGCCACTTAAGGGTTCATTCTCACTCACACCAGTTTTACACAGGCGTAACTCCATTGGGCCTGATGCCAGCATAAATCGGGACTAAGTCAACTGAAGCCGATGGAGTTACACAAGTATAGAGTGAGATCAGATCAAACCCTTACTGTAACTTTGGTTGCTGATGCACCCACAATTTTGGTCTGGACAGTTAATCTCAATGACTTTTTAAAAACAGAGTCAAAACCAGCTACATTGAAAAGGAACAGCATTATGCATTCCTTCTCCTCTACTCCATACCAAGATTAATGTGAAGAACACACTACACACAGGTCATTTTTCTATATCCTATAAAGACATGCAATGCCTGATTCTGATTTTATATTGGTTTTACATTAATGTAACTCTGCTGACTTCACTGAAATTACTCTTGATTTACACTCATGTAAGTGAGATCAGTATCAGGCCCAGAGTTAAAAGCACAGGTTAAATTATTTGTAATACATGACAATTACTGTTGAAATTATTTCTTTCCTTCAGTTTGTCTCTGTAAAAATGATCATTAACCACCTATGATGTGGAGGTCCTTCTCTACTGTGTGATGTGGCCATGGATATGCTATAGGATGCAAATATTTTTGCAGAAATACATCAAGGTCATGTAAACATATTTCTCAGCAATACACAAGGCTTGGCTTCAAAGTGATGTGAAAAAATAGTCTATATAAAGATCATGTTACTCAGGTTTTATTAGGAATTTCCACTAACATACATAGGACTTTTACTAAAAAAGGGAGTTATTTCAACAAAAAGAGACTTAGGCTCCCAAATGACAGAAAGCATTAACCGTTTCTTTCTAAATTAAAAGTAAATCTTGAGATTCCTCGAGTACTTTATTTGTAAGGACTCTTTTTAATTCATATAGCCAAGGATTGTCAGTGGATTCATGGGGGAGGGAAGAGGGAAATAAAAAGAATGTGAGAAATTCTGAGGCTATAATGATTGCATTTTTCAGCCTCAAATGCAAGAGTACTGAGATGATATTTTTCTAAACCAAGTGGTGAGATGTCTAAAGATAAGGGACTAGATTCTCCAGTTTCTGTACTGTAACTAGTCAATACCACTACTCCTCATTTAAAATTGTATTAACTTAGAAAATAATTTGGCTATAATGTGCCACACTATAGCTAGTCCTTATGTGGCCATGAAATGGAGACGGAAGGAGTAAGAAGTCTCCCCACTCTCTAAGCCTATCTCAGGGTTGCTCTGAAGTACAGCCCTGAGCTTGGGGAAGAAGAGGGATTGCTACCATTTGTGGGAACAATGTGCTGAAAAGGGGGCAGGGAGGGATAATGATTTGGGGGAGCTATGGCTCTATCCCCCACTGGCAACAGTATATTGCAGCCCTTAAAAGATCTCACAGATTGCTCCCCACTACCCAACCAAGGAGCTCTGAAAGCTTTTTGCCTTTCTGTTCAGAGCTCTGTGTCCAAACTGCGGAGTGTACATAAGTGGCACACTGAAAACAGAGAAGAATGGAATGTGATACATGTTATAATAACATTCATTATAGTATTTCTTTTAAATGCAAAATAAAGGATTGTTAATATTGATTGGCAATTAGCTTTTCATGATATTATTTCAGAATTATAGAATATTGCATTCAAACAGACCTCCTGATATCTTTTTAATGAAGGATGCATATACATTTTTTCATTATATTAAGTATGCTGTGACAAGATCTGTCATCATTTTATATCTTGTAGTTTTTGAATTCAGTCCTGTTCATAGTTTCATGTAGGCCATCGGATTTAAAGAACTTTTTCAGAAAATGTAAATGTGAGCGATAATTTTAAATACACATAGACATTTAAGCTGGGAAGTCCCTTATATTTTAGATATTGTTTAATTTTCAGTCAAATAAAAAATATGAGAAAGTAAAACAATTAGGAGTTAAACTTAAAAACAATGTTAATTTTACCCTAAAGTGGTATAGCAAGAACAAGCTTCAACATTAATATTCTGGGCTAGTAGTTTAATAATTACAGTTAATTAAAAAAGAAGTCTGTATTACCAAATTTAGTCTAAATGGAAAAAATAAGGCTTGCTTCAGCCGGAGTGTAAACAAAAAAGGTAAATATTCCATCAGGCAAAGTATAAAAGCAAAAGTTAAACCTTCCTATAACTCATCAGGCTCCAGTACAAAGATGGAGAGTTCCCTGCAACTCTCCCATTTCCCTCTCCTGATCTTTCCCTCTTGCCAATTTAGATCACTTTTCCTCTGCAGAATCAGCTGTAGACTGTAGACATGTGAGCAGCATTTCCCTTCAGGAACCTTTGCTGTTTAATAACTAGGTTATCTGTGGGACTGCAAGCAACAGTTGTCCTCTGCAGCCACAATAATGGCTGAGGGAGCCCCTGATAGCCTGGAGCACATTTTTAACCCTGGGTTACCCAGTCCTTCTGGAAGGTCCCTCTACGTGTCATAGTACACATCCATTAACAGAAGATGAATTAACGTAAATTTAAAAAATCATATTTCCAGTCAAGATTGAGAAAATAAACATGCATCTGTGGAATTTAAGCCTGCCAAATTACTATTCTGTATCTCCTACTCAAGGGAAAGTATGCGCTCTTGAAATTAATCTCCTCCATACTATCATATGAGGATTGCATTCAATCCCATTGTCTTTCTTTAACCATCTTGCTATTTATTCCTGCAAACACTTATGCATATGCTTGACTTTATGCTTCTGAGGAAAGTTAAACATGTTCATAAGTGTTTCCAGGACTGAGGCCTAAACTTGAAAGAATAAATAAATGACTAGAGCTGATTCTCAATTGCACTTGGCAGTCCTTCACACAAGTGCAAAGTAGATGTAAAATGCTACTATTCTGATTTATACAAGTGTAAAGGTCTACTTATATGCAAGGTTGTGGAGAATCAGACCCCTAATCTTTTGCTTTGCAATAGGGAGCTAATTTGAAAGAACTAATTCTCATTTATTTTGAAACACCCTATATGAATTAACATTAAAGACCAATTTATGAGACACCTAAGACCTGATTTTCAGAGGTGGTGAGCATCCACGACTCCAATTAATTTCATTAAGTTCATTAAGGAGCTGCAGCTGCATGTTGGTGTGATGTTTTACTTATAGACAGTGTGTTCTTTCCATAACAACTTCAAAGATTTTAGGGAAATACAATGTTGGTTTTAAATCATTATGGAAGAGTCATCAATGAAAGTAACATTTTTGTTAACGACCTTGCAATAAAAAGTGGCATAGGCAGTGCATGAGTCTTCCATTTGGGGAAGCTAATAAGCTAGTGCCGGAAGTTCCCTAG